TGCTTGTTTTAATTTTTTGATGCATATAGAAAATTAATATGTATGGGATAAAAAATTTTAATATTTTGAGTGCAATTTTGAAAATTAGAGTTTTTGCGTTTTGTAACTATTGTATTTATGTTGAAAAAAAAAATAGTTAATAATATGTTTAAAAAAATTGGTGAAAAATGTTTTAACAAATTGAAAACATTAGATATGGTGAGAAACATAAAAGGAAATATGTATCTGATGTATTCAAAAACATTGATAGCTTGGTAATTTTTATGTGGAAGAAAGATATCTTGATTGGTAATTTTTGTGTAAAAGATGTCAAATTAACTTGATAACTTATAGCCGTGTAAAATTTATAAGAGGAAATATGTAATCTGATGTATCCAATTATATTTTCTATCATGAAATAAATCCTAATTTGATTCTAAAGTTTAAATGAAAATTCCATTTATGTAATTAAAGGGTATAATCTTAGTGTTCGATTCCATTCCCTCATGTATCTGTTGTGCTACATTTGCATTTTGATCAATTAAATATTCTCTATTTAGAAGATTGTAATTAGTAAATAATCTCCAACGTCAAAGAATAAGGGGACTGTTGAGTATATACAACAAATGCTAAGCGGTAGAATCCGAAAGTTTTCATTGTTTTTCTTTTCTTGATTTTTATTTATTTAATTAGTCTAAGTTTGGTATCCATATCATCATTTTTCTCATCCATGTCATCATTTTTTTAAGTCATATCATAGTTTACAACCAACCAAATTAAAACACCTAAACTAAACTAATAAAATTATTTTCTTTTTAACAGTAAGGGGATATTGTCTATAGGGAGAATTACAAAAATACCACAAATGTGGTCACTTTTTACAAGCGTGCCACATCTGGGAAGCCTTTTACAATTATGCCACATATTTTGTCCGTTTGGACAACTTTGCCTCTTTCACAATAACGCGATCCCTTTCGTTTCTTCTCCCAAACAGAATCGCCTCGAAAAATTTTTAGAGACGAAGATCGAGTTTTTTTAGAGACGACGACGATCGAAATTTTTTAAGTGACGAAGATCAAAGATAAAGGTAATTTGATTCGCGATTCGC